AATTTTTATAACTCAACCGCTTATCGCGGGCCTGTATATTATTTCAGACTACGGTATTTCGTTATACAAAGTTTCATCAAAATCGTCTAAATAACTTTTTCAAAATTTAATCAAATCTTTACCAAAAGCTAATCAACGTGATTCCCAACCAATATCTTTCGAACAGTTTTTGAATTTTTAAAATTATGAACATGCAGGACATGCCATGCTATCAGTAGCACTGATGATATTTAGAAAAAATAGACACGATAAAATATTTGGCTTTACTTTTGAATAAAGAGCTAAGCTGCAAAGAAAATATTAAAAAGAAAGATTGCAACTTGAGGAGACGAGAAGATGATGTCACATCTAGCGCGGGAATCAATCTTGGCACGCACAACAAAATGTACCTACTTGCACTAAGCTATTATTAAGCTAATTTGGACATACGGTTTAGAACAATGGGGAATGGAAATTCAAAGATCAAACAAAATTACTTAAAGAAATTTTGAATGCCCAAAGAATGTATCGAATTCGTTAATATGTAAACACGTCGACATAAACACAATAAAGGATGAAAGACAATTGTAAAATCTGCCTCGAGAACCATCCAAAACCACTTGCCAGAACAACGCTATGATATTACGGCAAGATTAAAAACAGAAATTTTTGTTACATTTAAATATTAATTCAAAATCAGAAGCCAATTTTCAAGATTTCTGACAATGGTCACAAGATTTTTTCTCTACAGTTTTACTTGTTATTCATTTCAGGGTAGGTATAAAAAGTACTATAATAAAAAAGTTTTTGAATGTTTAAAATCAATTCAAGATTGTAGGCTAAAAGGTGGGCAAAAAATTTTACACTTCTCTCAGAAGCTCAGAAACGGCATGGCTGATCGTCGCGCATTGTTGAAATTGATCCAGCTGTTTTCTAAAAACGTCGACGAAAAGTCAAAAATCGGCTCAAACACATATAGTTTTGTCAAATTTGATCTTAGCAAACATAAAATTATCAAATCCGATTTTTTCGCGAAAACATAAACTTCTCCTTCGGGAAGTTAAAAATTAAAAGCAGAAGAAGATTAAGGGGCCGATTCTGCCGTCACATAGACTCACGTTATGGCAAAGCTATGTTATGTAGCAGTTCTCATACAAAATCGTACTAAATAACGTCAAAAGCTTTGAATTTCAAAAAAAAATCGTAATAAAGATCGCAAATTATCATAACTGGATCTTTGTGATGTGGTTTAATATTTGCCTTGGATGCAGGTTTTTTATTTCGGTTTGTCCAATTTTTTTGTAATGGTTCTCAAACTCTGCTCTATAAATATATTAGAACTAAACATTTAAATTTGAGCCGACAAAATTGTGCATATCTAATTATGCAGTTAGAAGTAAGCACATTAAAGGCAAAGACTCATTATTGCATTATTGGTTATTCCAATGACATCATATGCGATATTGCTATAAATCTAAATATAATCATGACCACATTCTATATTTCAGCTTCATTATAATCTTTAACTAATAAAATGTTAAAAAATAATCAAATTGCGTTCTAGGAATCGGTCATATGCACGTTGCACCTACTGCTTCATTGGCTTATTACATAAATCTACTCTAGTAAAAAACGTGCAACATTCTCTTTATTTATATTCCCGTAATTTTAATCCATAGTACGAATTTCAGTATTTAATTCAATAAATTTTACTCCATCGAATAGATTTCTAGCGACCATAGGACTTTAAAAGCTATTTGCACAATTCACGACATAAAGTATTTATATTGTGTACCATCAGAAACATGTGTGTATATAAAATTGTTCAGAACACAATTAAACAAAATATATTTATTTGTGTCAATTTTTAAAGCATAGAGTTCAATCTGGAAAAAGTAATATTTCACTTTTCTATAGATCAAATATACTACATAGGGTTGAGCGATGCTTGAAAGTCTGTGGTTACAACAATCCACTACCAATATCTCAAAAACAAGTATAGTTAAAAATGTTTGAAAAACTATTTTTAAAAGTATACAAAAATTATGTATAACCAGCTATCACCTTGACTCTTATGACTTTACTATCGGAAGAAAAACGGCAGTTTGAAAATCCACAACAAACCTATTTCCTTATTAGATGTATCCATTGTTAGATTAGTTTTAAATTAGATTCAACAGTTTTTTATATAAGCTCTATAAAAGCTTACCCGTGGGCGAGGAAAAAATGAGCCACTGAACTTTTACTCTAGCAACGGTTAACAATAAAAAAAGAGTGCGCGTAAGGTTCACACGTGATTGAAGTAAAACTTGTTTGCTATTGCACGAGATGGCATTTGAGTAATATAAATACATCATATAACAATTTTGAATAATGCTTATTAGTAATATGGTAACACTCGTAATGCACACATTTTTAATGTCAACCATTATACATATTCATATAGTAAAAATTATAAATTATATATTTATAATACCAATAAAAATATTTATAATGTTTGAAAATATTAATGTAATTAAAATCACACTTCAATTTGTCATTGTAATTAGCATTTAGGACTTGAACATTTATTCAAATTCAAAAAGATTCAAAGTGGCAGCTGGTTATCCATCTTTTTCCCTTTACTTTTAAATATTTGTAAATGTAAAATGTAATTGTAATGTAAAATATAGTTCAATGCAATGTAAAATATAATTCAATATTGGCTCTTCTCCAACAATTTTGAAGTTTAAAGCAGTAAATTGTTTAAAATAGATCCTTCTAATCCCTTATATTAATTAGCAGAATAACTAATTCCAAGCCAACAAACAATTATCATATGCATATGGCATATTCTTCGGAAATAATGTTTTGGAGAAATCATTTGATATTGTCAGTAAATTATTTCTTCTTTTAAAATGTCTAAAATAGACATTTTAAGATTAGAGAAGGTAGTGGGATTTCAAAGATTGGAGCAAAAGTGCAATATAATGAAATTCAGCTAGCTGAAAACTTTGATTTCTAATTTTTGAAAAATTAGATTTTTGAAACTTTTAAAGAAAATTGACAATTGAATTTGAAAAATTTTAATGTTTTTTATATTATAATTTTTTTTGTATATTTTCAACTTTTTAACTTCCCGAAGTATAAGTTTTATTTTATAAAAAAATCCGAATAGCTGATTTTATGTTTTCTTGACGTTTCAAGCTATTCTGGATCGAATGAGACCAAATTGGAAGAAGTATGTGTGTGTGTGTGCATGTGAGCCGATTTTTGACTTTTCGTCGAAGTTTTCTCATAAACCTATTTTAAACCAATTTTGAAAATATAAAAGCCATTCGATGTAACTCGATGAGGACTAGCGTTTGTCAGTTTTGTGAAAATGTTTGGCAAAAATGTGAAAAATTTTTCATCCACGTTTCAGCTCATAATCCTAAATCAATTCTGAATATTTAAAAACAGTTCGAAAGATATTGGTTAGGAAAGATACTGATTAGTTTTTGGTAAAGATTCCCACGTGTTTTTGTAATAAAGTGTTGAAATTTTTATGAATTTTTTTTTGATGATAGGTACATGGTCTTCTAAAACATATTAAAATATTACGGCGCTACAACAAGTCGTTTAATTCGACAATCGGCCGAGCCGTTTCTTTGTAATTGGCAAAATAGTGTGAAATTTTTTATCCACATTTTGCTCACAATCCTAAAGATATTGGTTGGGAATGATACTGATTAGTTTCTGGTAAAGATCGACTGGACCGTTTTCTTGTAATTAAGAGTTGACATTTTTTTTTGAGATTTTTATGAATTTTTTTATGATAGATAAGATATCATGGTCTTATAGAACATACTAAAATATTACGGCCCTACGACAAGCCGTTTAATTTTAAAAATTCATCAAAAGCTGAATTATATGAATTAATTAAAATTTGGAATAACAAGCTGCATTTTTAGTATATACAAGCACACATGTCTGTGCACTATAATAAATATAATAATTAGATAATCAGATAATTTAAATGTGTTTGGGATATATCAACTGGAAATAGCAATAGTTAGAATTAAGTGAAAGCGAAACTTTATTTTCGAGATAAATCGGAATTTTGGTTAGTTAAATCAATTATTACATATATCGGGAAGTTCAATCAAGTTGCCTCAAGGCAAAAAGACACTTTCAACTAGTTTTCAAAACAATCGCGCTACGTAGCAGTCTTTTATCGAATCGAATTTTGTTTGAGTCCTTCAAATCCCAATTAAGAATTTGTGATCCGGAATAAAAGGTATACCCTATCAATGGCTTATTATCTTCTCTTCTAACATTTTTACAAATTCTCAAAAGATTTAAATTCGAGCATAGCAAGAACTTTATTGCATCAGTAGCGGTTACATTCAGTGTGTGTGTTAAAATAATAATTTGTTTCAGGTATTTTTTGTTATTGCAATGGTAATATAACTCATAATTTCATATAATATTCATATTTATTATATTATGTTATACTTTATATGTAGTTCATATATACGTTGCTTTATATGTTGTACTTTTTATTCGAATCATTCATGCTAAAACTTCTTGGCCCTTCAAGCTACTAATTCAAGCATCTTATTAATATAAAAAACTATATAAATAAAAGCATTCTATAACCATATGGGAAAAAATACTGTGTTTGAGCCACATGCAAATATACACTACGTTCAGCAATCTATAGGAAAATTGCTTTGAAAAAACTAAACTACGTTTATGACCAGAAATCACCCCGAAATAATAAATAAATAATAATATATATGTATATATATGTGTGTGTTTGTGTAGGTTTATAGTAAAGTATAATTATATATAAAATTTAATTAATAACTTGTGTATGCTCCGAAAAAGAAATCTAAATATACATGGCATTCTTTATCAAAAATCTGCCCAGTATCGAAATGTTAGAAATAAATCAATTATTTTCAAAAAAAAAAAATGTATTAATCATTGGAATATCTTATTCGGAGCATTTATATTATTACTAATTGCACTAAAAAATTAATATTAAATGTAATATTTTACCTAGCATAATTATTTCTTTGGTGTGCTCTAGTTGTATTTCTTCGTACAGGATTCGAAGGTGTATGCTGTGAAATTCGCATTGAACTAAAATTGGCGACCCTTCTGCCTCCGAAACCGCCTTTGTTGCCTTTTTTGTCTTGCTTGTTTGCTTCTTCATCTTTTCGTTTTTGTTCATTTGCACTGTTAATCTTAGCCCGAGCAGATGCTGCCAAATTTGCTAAATATATTTTGGAAAGCATACTTTTATACAAAGTGACGAACTATAAACATTTATTCGCAAAGTAAATTATACTGAAATAAAAATCTAAAAACAAAATATTATTGAAAATAAAAATCAAATAAATTTGTTAGAGCAGAAATTTTGTCTGAATAAATTTGAGCTTTTGAATAGTATTGAAAAATACTTCATAGTATGTAAAAATATTCATATTGTGATAGATTTTCCCGAAATTGTTGTTTTATAATATTAATGAACTTGAGTAAGATTTTCATAAATGCAATTTAGTAATATCATTAACAAATAAAAATTGCAAATTAGAGATTTAGTCAGTTATTTGTAAAAAAAAGAGGGATGTACTTCAGATTTCTTTTACTAAGAGTAGTTTTGCATAAAATTTTGGAATTAAGCTAGTCTTGTTCTTAACTTCAAAATGAAAATCATTTAAACTACACACCCACATTGGAGCAAGCTGCCACGGATTTTTCGTAATAAGGCCTAATTTTAAGAAACGAATGTATCATAAAGTTTTTTTTTCTAAAAAAAAACAATACTTTGCAAGTCATTAAATTGAGAATTAAATTTATATTTTTTATATTGTTTATCGTTTTTTTACAAATATCTTCAAAAATATGCATTTTAACAGAAATTTTATGATAAACAAAATTGTAGCAAGAAAGAAAACTGATCAAATCGGTAACAAAATCCAAATGTATGTAAAAAACAACTTCTTTTCATAATATCTCAAAAATAATTAAATGTACGTATAAAACTATAATGATCAAACATATAGATCTTTTTTTGGCAAAAAATGATTTTTTAATAAAAACCGTGGAAAATTCCGAACTTCAATTACCAATAACGTCGAAAATATTAGTTTTTTTTGTAGAAAACTGTATCTGTATTGTATATAATATATAAATAAATAAAATATTAACTATATAAAATAGTGTTTATTGTTAAATTAAACCTTTTAACGACATCCGAACACATTTAAAAAAGTTATACCACAGAGAAAGGGTGGCAACCTCTCCAAGGGTGGGCGTGAACTTCAAATCATTTTCACTTTTGATGTTAAGAGTAAAATGAACCCATTACCATCTCAGGCATATTGGGTCACAGAAAACGGAGCCAAAAATGATCTAGTAAATTATAATTAAGGTGACCATAATCTTTTAAGTCAACACCGGAAAGTTTTAGTTAAGCTAATTCAAGACGGGAGGGATGGGGGTTTTTAAAATAAAAAATGATATCTAAGAATACAATAACAAAATGAGTTTTTTTTATATTAATCAATTTTTTTTAAATCAGAGTTGCGGACTTTTAGTAAGAACTCGATTATTTGATTATAAGTATTACTTTCTTAATTATGATATTATATTATATTTTTTATCTGTTTGTTTCGCTTTTGAGCCTTGTATAAAATTCTATTCAATTTTCTTCAAAATTAATTTGGTTAATTTGCCTATTGATTTTGAAAAATCCGGGACAATCCGGGACAAAAGATCTAAATCTGGGACAAATATTGCTTTTAGAAAAACCGGGGACACGAGGTGAAAATCGTATGGTCACCTTAATTATAATAAGTTTTATTTTATATCAATACAAGAAAATGTAATTTTGGTTTTTGTGCATATGATTAATGCTAACGATAAGTAAATATGTTTCTAATACTCCTTCAGTTTTTTAATAATTACCAAAAGAGAACCAATAAAACAAAGTACTAAACTATAAATATAATCATACATATCTGTACAACAAATTATAGAAGTAAATCGTAAATTTAATATATTACTACGTTATATGGAATAGAAAATATTATTTTATATACATCATAACATCAATAAACTTAATCGCTCTTAACAAATATTGTTGACAGTTTATACAATCATGCAAAAATAATTGGACAAACATGCGGTACAGATGTACAACAATAAGTAGAAACAAATAAATAAATTAAAATTCTTAATGCACAACTGACCTAGATAAGAGAAACTTTATATTTCGATATTTATTACCCGATGTGAAGTAATAAAATATTTTCATAAAAATAACGTGCCTCATTTATGGAACGCACATAACATCTCGTATATGTGATTATTTTGTGAAAATTCACATACAACTATCGATACAACTTCAGAAATTGATGATTACTTACATTATGTAAACAGAATACTTAATTATGAAAAATGCTGATTTTGGAAATTAAAATTCAAATATATAATATTGAAGCAACAATAATACTAGTTATTTTAGTATTTGACTTATAAATACAAACAGCATATGATTAAGTTTCAGTTCCGCTCATAGTATCAAGTTTTTCTTCAAGACATTGTGAGCAATGACTAACCTCTTACAATTATATATGACTTAATAAATAATATACTGAATTATTTTATGACACATATTATGGGTGTTGAATGAAATTGCGTTAAAGAGTAATTAAAAGCGTAAAATGGATTAATGGTGTGCGAATTTCTACGCAACTTAACCATAGTCATATTCTCTGCTATATACAAAAGGCCATTCCAAAATTATATTTAGTTTTGAATGTTATTTTTTAGTGACAATCAGAAAAAGTCGCGATTGCGATCAATCTTTTCTGAATTATATGAACTTGAGGCAATTAGGGGGAAGTCCCGTAACGCCGGACGGCACCAAGCACCGGACACTCTATTTAACATGTATTATTTAGGCGAATATAAATCTTTTCATTTCAAAATACAATCCTTTCTTTTTTCAGGCGCAAAATCACAGCGTCACCTAAATATAAATGGAAGAAATTCTAGCGTATTTATGCATTTACATTTGAGTGGTATGCAAAGATAAAAGTTGTACTTGATTGTTATCAATCAATCATCAATATCAATTTTAGTAGATGCCATCAAATAAACAAAAATGTCTGTCCTAAGTCGTCCCTTAGTGCCGGACAGTAAACATATTGATATTTCTTGTGAGAATTTACGTAATTTATTCCAAATATTTAATTTTATTCTGTGTGAGTGCTAACGGTCACTACACACCCACATTGTTCGTATTTCCTTGTCAAAGAATGAAAAGCTTATGAATGCACTAGCTGAGAGCATCGGTGTGGCACAGGCAAAGGGTGGATGAATAGTGACTTTTTTTTTGCAATATCTTAGAATATTCGTCAAAGACACATGTGCAGGCATTCCAGAGCGTGGAGATGCCTACTTATGTGATCAATGCAGGTTATTTTGAAATTCCAGTACTAGGTGCCACTGTTTAAAATCAATTTTTTTGATAGCAAAGTTTGATTGATACCTAGTATTAATTATTTTTTAGCAAAGATTTCAGTTTTGTTAATTTAGTTTGATTTCTAGCTTTGTTATCTAACATAAATCATAACTTAATAAACATTTCATAAAATATTTTTTGATTCATTGATAAATAACCTTAGGTGTCCGCCACTTGGGGACTTTCCCCTATATTGTTATTTTCGACTGTAGTCCTATAAATACTATTTACGGTTACGGTTCCAAAATTTAAATGAACAAATAAAAATAAACCGAAACAACCAAAAAATGGTCACAGTTTCGATCAAAGTTTTAGATTGTACTAAAAAGCTCATAATATTCAAACTGCATGGTATTTTTTAAGATTTTTTCTTGATATTTAAAATCAATGCTTGGCTTGACGTTAGGATTTTGAACACCCTGTAATAAAAATGCAATTCGTCACCTAAAATAAAAATGCAATTCGTCTCGAACTATAGATGAATTCAGATTTAATATATAAAATAGGGTAGGAAGGGGCACAAAAGCCCAATTTGACTTTGAGCAATTATATTACGAAAGCCAAATCAATTATTGCGTATCAAATAACACACATCAAACAAACAACTATCTGACTATGTCCAGTAAAACTGTCAGCTAATTCACCATTCAGTAGAAATATATTTTTTGCTGTTTTTTTTAAAAATTGTCACATGGTTCTTTTCACACCATTGGCAGGGTAAAATGGGACAGCCAGAAGGCAAACAGGTCCAACGTGTTATTTTTAATTTTAAAAGGATTTCACAAAATAACAGCCTATAATCCAACAAATGCAAAATATATATTTCATAGACATATTTTTTATAGATATAACCTTGATCTGATACTTCGTCGGAAATAATCATTAGCAGAATTATTTCCAACAAAATAACTATTTTGTTAATTTATCTCTTATAAAATTGCTCTTTTTATCTTAATTTACATTTTTATTCACTATTTTTAAATGTAGTTAACAACTTTGCCAAGATAAAGACTCAGATGGTTCTTTTTACCCCACCCACATGTAAGCTTTTATAGAACTTATATAAAAAAACATTTAAATAATGTAGACTCAAAAATTAAGGCTTAGTCAGATAGAGAACAGTGCTCACAACCAAAAAAGCTAATAACAAAAGAAAATTCTTTTGTTATGGAATTTAAAACATTGCCGAAACGTTGAACGAATCAAATTCATGACTGGTTATACATCTTTTTCCTTCTGCTTTCAAATGTAGTTAATTCTCGACTTGTTTTTGAGATATCGGTGATGGACCTTTTTACCCGCGTACGTTTAGGCCCCGCTCGCCTATGTTTTCGATGGCAAAAACCAAATCCGGTGATATGCAATTTTTGCACGCAAAAAGATGTAATCAATAAAATTGTGAAAATGCATGGTAAAAAGCAGTCACTATTTATACATTTTTAATAAAAATCAATAATCATTAATTGATGAATATTTCTAATAAAATACCAGATAAAGGTTATATACATTGAATAAAATAGTTATTATTTCGCAAAATCTCTTTAAAATAGAAAATTAGACATTGCCCCCTGGTCGTCACAGTTTACCCGGCCTGGAGTGCAAAAGACCAGATGACAAAATAAAGAAAAAACGCAAATTAACACATTTCTACGACAAATTATCTGGAAGTTTCACTGCACTTGTTCAGATAGTTGTTTGTTTGATATGTGCTATTTGTTGTTATATTATTGGTTTGGTTTGCACAATATAATTACTCAGTTGTAAAATTGCGTATTCGAGAGTATTAACTTGTAATTTCCGAAATTATTATATTATAAGATATGAGCGACGCTGGGTTTTTGATGAAATGCATTGAACTAAATCTGACTATTCAAATTCTTTGATAAATTATTCGTTTCACTAAATATAGTTTTTGTTAATAATTAAAATTATTACCACGGTATATATCAATCTTATGCTCATCTCATTGGATATCCATGTTACGATTTGATATATTCCAACTTTCATCATAATAAATACTGTTTTAATTGAAGAAAAGTAATTACTTTGTAAGAATACCCTAATCTTAAATACCACTATACCTAAGTAGTAGCTAGAAGCAAATGTAGAAATCAGTTCTTTCAAGATAAGCTGCTTTGATAAATATGAAATATATACCTATAAAATTTAAAAAGGGAATTGAGGTTATAGGTTTAAAACTCGAATAACGCACCAGTTTTGTATTTGGGAGCAAAAAATTAGTACTATTCATTGTATACTCTTTTATAACGATACTCGAGAGAAAATCCGAGATCAAAGCTTTTATGTGTACATATGTCATAATTTTACTGATTATACATTATAAGCTCAGATTGAAACTTATATATATATATTCTTGAAGCATTACAAATTATCAAGTTAATTTTTGGCTAATATTTACAAGATAAATCTGTTATATCATAACTATAATATTATTTTCTAACATATCATTGCAATTTGCATAATTGCAAATCACCCTCAATCCGATACTTCACAACAAGAACCTATCTTCGTTAAATCAAATATATAAATAATTAAAACTATCACACTTAGCATTTAAATAATATAACAAAAAGTGCGACGTGTTTACAAATAAATAACCACATTACATACGTTAAGGAATAATGATTATTTAATCATTATCATCTATAAAAAACCAATAAGATTTCCATGCCAACTTAAACCCAGCAGCAAGCAATAAAAGAATAAAAAGTCCGCGCCACCAGCAAGCAGAAGAATTGGTAGAATCCTTTATAACTCACCAGCGCTGGTCTGCTTTCTTCTGGCCTGCACCATACCATAAACCACAGCTGCCAAAGAATGGACTTGGCTTGGTTGTCTTTGGAATGGCGGCGGTCTTGTACTCTTACGACCGAGGACCCAGAAAGTTTCCATTTTTCCTTTACCTTTTACTTCGATGAGACCTCTAGATTGAACTTGGTACCCCCGGGCTGACAGAACCTATTGAAGATTATTATAATGATATTACCTATAGATAAACAGTATAAATTTTACCATATTTATGTATTATATTTGAAGAAATGAATACAAGTAGTATTTATGAAAAATGTAATCAATTGCTTTCACTTAAAAAAGTAGTACAAAACTTAATTTAATGAATGTTTATTACAATGTTCATATAAAATTATTTTTAAAAATAACTATTTTTAACTGCAAAATATTGGTTCTCATCAAGTTAGAAGAGTTAAAATTCAAGTTAGAAGAGTTTTTGGTCAGTTTGGCGTAAGATAGAAAATAAATAAAATAGGGAGATAGGTTGGTTGTACCAGTTTTTTTAATAAATCTTTTTTGAAAACAACTGATTATATTTCTACAAAATAAAGATGGATAACTATTATCATAGTATTTAGTACGATTTTGTATGAAAAATGACGCGTAACATAGCCTTGCCATAACATTGGTCTATTAGACAGCAGAATCGGCTCATAAAATTCGTTACTATTTGATATTTATTACTGTCAAATAAATAACTAGTGGTGTGTATGGCATCGTGCCTTAAGTACTTCCCGTACCGTAACGAAATGTTCGAGGAATATTAAATATTTTCAAATAGATTATTATAAATATCGTAATATTATCTAATATTTATAAAAATTATGTAAACTGAATTGCAAAGTTGAAAATATTTGTTTAAAGTATATTAGAACTTAAGTCAGAATTGCAAATAAAATCTGAATTATTTTCGATATAAAAAAAAATTGAAAAAAAAAAATTGAAACAATTTTTTCCAGAACCAATTATTTTGTTAAAACAAGCAGAAAATTCTTTGAGTCATTCAAATCGGACGCTTAGTTCTCTCAAAAACTGCAATTTTTTGCATATTCAGCTCTGTATCTCCAAAACCGCTGGACCTGCCTTTGCCCAAAACTAATTACCACTTCTCCCCGTCATTACAAATTGAATGTTTTTTGGAGCATTCAAATCCGATGCTCCGGTCTCTCAATATCTCGATTTCTATTATCTGCATTCTTTGCTCCGTATCTCCGAAACGGCTGGACATGCCTTCGTCAAAAACTAATCAGCACATCTCTTTATCAATATGAATCGAATGTTCTTTGAACCATTCAAATCGGTTGATCCGTGCGCCCGAAAACGTGGACGACAAATTCATACATACATACACATATCCATTTTTTCTGAGGTATGCCAAAATGTTCAGAAACCTTCAAAACGTGAAAAAATGTAAAAATTTTCAATTTCGATTTTTGGACGATTACGATAATTTACCCTACGGAAAAATAATACCCTACGGGAAGTTAATAATCGATTTTAAATTTAAAAAACAAGTAAAGTTAGAATTTTTTTTAACAATTATATTTGAAAGTAGAGCAAAAAAGATGTATAATCAATATAGACCTTGATTTTCACGACGTCGCCGTCAGGAAATAAACGGAAATGTTTGAAAACCCATAACAAAATTTTCTTTCGTTGTTAGTTTTTTGGGCTGTTAGTTTACGAGACCTTGATATAACTATTAGGTACACGTTATTTGATTATTTTATAAGATGTATATTTATTTTAAGTTATATTCAACAGTTTTTTTTATATAAACTCTATACGAGTATAACGTGTGAGTGGGGTGAAACACCAACTGGACCTTTATACTCGCAAAGGTGTAACAGTAGTAAATAAGAAAGTAAATCAAGTTAACAAAAGTAACTTTATAAGAAATAAGTATATAGATAATTATCACCACTATGCTGATGATTATTTCTGACAAAATACCAGATCAAGATTATGCATTAATTGTTTTTGCATTAATTGTATAATGTAACTATTATTTTGTGAAATTCCTTCAAACTTAAATATAAAGCATTCGATCAGTTTGCTTCCTGGCTGTTCTATTTTTCCCCGCCTATAGGGTGAAAAAAAACAGGTGACAAATTTATGAAAAACAGCAATGATGAATTCGAATTAGCTCGATGTTTTACTGAACACAGTTAGATAGTTGTTAGTTTGATGTGTTATTTTTTGTGATATAATTGGTTTGGTTATCATAATATAACTGATCAAAATAAAATTGAACCTCTGTCCCCGCTCTATCCTACACGTGACATTGTATCGTAAGTTAAAATCTAAATTTCGGATTTAGATCGGCCAAGAATTTTTATTATCAAAAATGCGGAGTTCAATATGTTGCAAATATTAGCAAACTGAATTTTCTGGCAAAAACATTACCTTTTTTTGTGAGAACAGAACAATAATATATATGCATGCAGAGTCAAAATGTGTATTTACAAAAAAATAAGACATAAAATTATCATATTCACTCACATCAGCCGTATAACGAGGTACTTGGATGCAACCCATTGCTCCCGTTGAATCCATTCTCGATGCCTCGTTCACAGTATTTCCCCAAATGTCGTAGACTGGTTTGCGGGCACCAATGACACCACCGACCAGAGAGCCACAACTCAAACCAACCCGGAGTCGGAAGTGGTTGAATGAATGGGTGTTAACGTCATCCAGACGATGGCGCATGGCGATCGCAAAGTCAACAAGGGCGCATACGTGCTCCAGTTCATCGACACAACCCTTCGGGGAAAAATGATATATTTAAGTTAATAAAATTATTAACTTTAGGTAAACAAGTGTGTAGTAGAAAATAAGGTGCCATGAATGCTATGGAGATAGCTTTTGGAAAATTTATCATATGTCTAAAATATAAAAATAATATAAAAATTGAAAGCTTTAATAATTAACGGGTTTCATGATATGACATTTTCAATAGCATAAGATGGAGAGATAAGCATATTTACGTTATATTCGTTACGCGCGAGTGTACTGGTTCTGGTTTGTACAATTTTTCAATGTGTTCTACAAATTTGATTTGAACAATATTTACAGTACTAAAAGAGAAAAACAATAGACTTTCGAATAACGCTAATAAATAAGTAATTAAACAAAACGCACTATTCGAAAACATTAATTTAAAAATTATTTTATCCTTTTTAGCTCATAATAAAGGAATACTTAGCATATATTACTATACATTATGTAGTCTAAGCCAATATGAGTAGAATCACATAACTTTTTTTTCGATATCTTTTATGGTTACGCCGAAAATTGAGTTTGAAAAAGGGGCCACTCTGGCATATTTTCAATGATATCTCGGCCATAAGGTGAGATACAAAGTTGAAGTTTGGTATATCAAATGTTTTCAAAAAGACCTTCAAAATGACGTGTAAATTGTTCAAATACAAGGGTGTGAGTCGATTATGTATGGCAATGAGCCCACACCTTGCTTATTATGTACTCGACTGGCAGACCCTTGCAACCGTCAGAATGGGCTGGCTTTTTACATATGCTTTCTGAACAGTTAAAAGAATACACCCTCAAAATTTGAGCATTGTGGGAGGAAGTTATGAAAAAAATTTTTTTGACATTTTCACAAATTGAAGGGATGATGACGCAACCGCGGAATGACTGCCAGAATAAACTTTCTTAATGGGTCGATAATAAAATATCATTAAAAAAAATTCTAGCTCTGAGAAAACAGGTTAGTCAAATAGTTCACTGGCTCTTCAACTATTATACTTGTAGAAATAAATAGAAACTAATAATCTGGAGTATCAGTTTTTGTAAGTTCATATTATGCGATATTACAAATTTATAATGTTCAATATCAATGCCTTTAAAAACGATTTCTTTTAAAAACGAATGTAATTTGCATTAATTTAATTTTTAAAATTAAATATTTCACTCCTTAAAAAAATCTTTAAAGAAATAAGCGTATTTAAAAACAATAATATCAAAATTATACCTATACATCTGGGTGTTTTTTTAGAGTAAGCATTTTAAGTTCTGTTTAAAGGTAAATGTTGCAGATAATAGAAATATTCAAATAATTACCTGTGTTGGATTTAACCCCGAAGCAGCCATGTAAGTTGCGCCTACAGTCTTTATTTTCTCGATGGGTTTGAATCGTGCTTCATCCAACAATTCATCAAAGTCCGCAATAATTTCATTGAGCAATCGTATACATTCCATTCCTTTATTGATGTCCTCAGAATAAAACTCAGTGAAATTTGGAATACTCGCAAACATGACTCCGACGTCCGCTCGCCATTGAGAATACAGTTCCTGGGACATATCAAATTTCACCTAATCAAATTAGGTATTAATATTTTGAAATAAAACAATAAATTTCAACCACAACCATTTCCATGAAAAGAACACTTCTTCGCAATATTGATCGAATGGAACTATAAAATTGTACATAATTTCCTTTTGGTGTTGTCCTTCAATTTTTTTTTCATTATATGTGGAAAGTAGAAAAAAGCGTAATTTTCATAATAGCAACATGAATATTTAATTTCTAATGCAAATTAAAAGATAAATGATTTGTATTCGTATTGTTCGTACAATTATTTGATTAACTTTCATTTCAATATCATTATTAATTATAATTTAATTGAAAGTATATCATTACTAGTGTTACCGCTACAAAAAAGAGTTCTTCTTCTAAAATTATTTTCATTCAATAACCTCTCCATTAGAACATAAATGTTGGTTAATCTTGATGACTTATTAACATTTGAAGATGATGCTGAAAAATAACTGATATATTAATTGAAATTATAAAGTGAAACTATGAAATATTATTATATAAGTTGATAAATGATTATATTGGTTAATGATATTATTACATTTATTAATTATACCAATCATATTAAAAATTAGTTGTCAGTGGCATTTTGCCTTAAGACAAGTTGCATGGACTTCCCAATTTGTGTAAAAATTGACTTAATCAACCGAAATTGAGATTTACTTATTCATGTACATTTTCTAAGAGTTTATTTTGAAAATGAAGTCTTTGCTTTCACTAAAAACTAAACATTTCCAATACTTAATTTCTCAAACGCATTTAAAACACATGCTTGTATATTATAAAAGCGCCCATCACAAATTTTAATGAATTTAGTGCTTGACATTTCAGTGCATGAACTTTATTGCCATGTCCTGGGGTCCTTAGCGCCCGCATGCAACATTTTTTCTAGCGCCCCCCCCTATTAATTTTCACCGTTTTAACAGTTTATCATTAAAATTATATAAATATTTACATATTTTTTTAAAATTATTTTTTAATTATTCTGGATTTAGTACACAAAAAATTAGATATAATCTAGAAGGGTATAAAATATATTGATTTTAAATTTATTTATTATTATCGATATCAATAAATAAAACAATCCCTGTCATAATTTCACATTTTAGTAATATTCAATATGTAATAAATTGGTTAAAGATGTAAGTTCGACTACCATAGCAAAAGAATTAATATTTTTATTAGATTGAAATTATAGAATTTAAGAAATGCATTTCAGAAATAGTATTTATTATTTTGAAATAAAGATCTTGATATCAAAATAATAAATACTATTTCTGAAATGCATTTCTTAAATTCTATAACTTTAATTTAACAAAAATATTATGTGAAATAAATACATTAATTTTTAATTATTCTGGATTTAGTGCACAAAATATTAGATATAATCTAGCGTATAAAATATATTGATTTTAAATTTATTTAAAAAATCGAGGCGATTCGGAGGTTGATTATAATCAAGTATTTTGAAATTTTCAATTATTTGTAACGTATGTGCAATATTAATATTTAAAAAAACTAGCATTCAGTTTTCAAACATAACACTCGTATTTCATGTTGGATTTTTAAAATTTTAATTTAATTTAATTTTTCATCATTTACAATATCCAAAATTGCGTCGTAAACTTTTCCTTATTGATATCGTAAGAGCCGTCATATTCAGAGTATCAGCTTGTTGTATTAAAGTTAAATTTTTAACGTATTTTAGAAGTATTGTTCAAAAATCAGTAAAAAATGCAAAGAAATTACACATTTCTTGAACAATGTTGAAAAATAAAACTTATTATATTTGATATGTATTATTTCTGTATAGTTAATAATTATTAAATTTAGAGTATGGACACCACTAGGTATGAAACAAGCCTTAAGATTTTCGTTCCAAAGTAAATTTTGCTTTCATTTTTCATATTTGTTCCACGCATGTCTTCAACATTCAAAGTTCATCAGATGCGAAATATTTGCAACAAAAGCAAAAGTTACAATTCAATTTCTTGGAATAAACAAGTCATTTTCTAAGCACTGACTCCCCATTTTTTATAATTTGTTTATATTTTTTTAACAAATTCCGATTCAACTAAATCAGTTAGCAATTTTTCGTCAATAATGCCCAACAATTAATTTAATCTTTTGCAGGTTTGCGCTTAAGGGATTGAACACTAGATAATTTCTTTTTCGATTCCACGGTAACTTCAAACAAAGAAAAAAAATGAATAAGTAGATTAAGCAATAAACAGAGCTGTTATTTACTAATTTGTAGAATTATTAATCGGTTAATTGTTTCTACTGATATCACATTGCAAAATAAATATGCTTTTTGTGTCTGCGTATCCCTATTTAAGTTAAATTATTTATTATAATTTATTAAGTATTCTAGATTTTAAATAAATAATTCTAGATTTTATATAAAAAATATAAATATTATATTATAAATTTAATTTCCGAAACTCGTTTTTTCGCCCCCTAAGGCTTGCGCCCGCATTTTTTGCATGCATCGCATGCAAGGCAGGACCGGCCCTGGCCACGTGTTATATATATATTCATATTATTCAATATTATACAATATTAGGCATCTGCTATAAGAAAAAAATGGCTCGATTATGTATATTATGCGCGTAGTTCTTGATGTTATTTATTCATTTAAATTAATGGTAACATTTTTACATAGACAAGTTTTGACCACTCTTTGTTAGGTGACTTAGATATAAACAATCTATTTAGATAATTATTAATTAATTTATGTGAACAAACCCATAAACATGAGATAGCAAGATTTATGCGAAAAACGGTATAAAAAAACACTTCCAAAGAAACGATTTAGCTGATCGTCTCGCAAATTCAATCGCGACACCTCCATTTCGAGTTTAAACCAATGGCTGTTAAGAAAATGTCTACAAAATTCAAATTTTAGCCCATCACAACATAAATACGATTTTTGGCACAAATTTTAAAAGTATTATTTTTTAAAACTTTGATGTGAGTTCTTGTTGAGTTACATCTAATGGCTTTTGAACTTTTAAAATCGGTCTAACCGATCGTGGACGAAATAAAAATCGTGGACGAAAGTTTGAAAAATAGGCTGTAATAAGTTTGGTAAAAGCTGCTTCAGAATGACTTGAAACGTGCAGAGAACATAAAGTTAGCAAATCGGAATTTTTGTCGAAAACAAACTACACGGAAGAAAAAATTGAATACTCTAAATTGTAACTTGGGGCCTGCAAACGCAATTTATCAAAAAATTAATTTATGATAAATATATAAGACAATCAAAACAAATATTTGAAGTTCGATATTTTTCAATTTTTTGAATTTTATCATGTTTAGGTATGAATTAGGTTGCGTAAATGTTATCAAATTTTAATATTATATTAATCACAAGTTCTATTTTAGAATTCACTTAAGTATTTTTAGCTATTTTAGTATTATTAGGATTGTGAATACTTTAGCATATTTACTAATACTTCTGTTGATAATGATTGGTGAAAATAATTGTGAAAAATGGATTTTTTAACCCCATAATCTCTCATATATAATTTTTATGCACATTTAAATAACTGGAGAAAAAATTGTATTTTTCTGACCAAAAATTTAGCTTCAATTGATTTGCAATTCTTAAAATGGCAATCAAACTTACTACATTTGACTCTACTCTAGTAGATTTACTAATATTTATTTTATATCACATTACTGTTTGGAAATGAAAAATGCGTGTCCAAAAAGTAAATAATTTAAAAAAAAACTAATAATAAAAATAATAAACAAGGAAGTGAAAAGGAATCCAGCTTTCACTCAGGCAGAAAACAATTTATTATTATTATTACATTAATATATGCTTTTAAATTTGTTACTGTAAATTAAAATTTGAATCAAACTAATTGTTTAATAAATGAATATTTATCTGTGCGAAATTACCAAGAAACCAGAATGAATTAATACTACTGATTACTAATGACAAGACTTTACAAAATTGTAATTCCTAAATAATATTAACTTGTTAGTAAGATTATTTTGAACATAAAGATATTATTACTATCCATGCAATATTATTAATTATACTTACATCAGGTTGCCTATCTTCCGAAAGAAAATGATGAGCCACATGATCCGGTAGAATATTCTTAAGCAGTTGTGTATTATTATGTCTTGTGTCAACCATATCTGCAAGTTCTCGTTCTGCTTGCTGCTTCCACAAGAAGTCTAATCTTGAGGTCACTTCAACTAGGCGGGCATGGTAAGTAACCATCACCAAGAAGACAGCCAACAGAATCAACATCTGAGCAGAGAGCGACATTCCCATTCTTAAAGAGAAAAATTAGCATTAATAAAAAAAAATTTAAACTGATAAACTTGTGAAATTATTTGAACAATTTAGTATATAATATTATTGGTGTAACAAATAAAGCCAACTTACTTTCTTTCCAGTACTGGGTCATGAAATGCATCTGGGTACGCCAACATGATCAGGAGGGTATACACGGTTACCATTATAATTGCCAAACAAGTTTTCACTAAATAATACAATTTCAAGGCGGTTGCCAAAGCTACCAAGCATAAGACCCAAGTAAATACTACATATTCCGGATGAATGCATTCTCTTGGCAAAATTTCTGGTTCTTCATCATCCTCATCATCGAAAGTCGGTGCCTCTTGTTGCTTTTGCTGCACCATTTCTGCTTCTTGACGCATTGCTAATTTTCTGTTACTCTCCTTAATAGCTTCAACATCAGTAAATTCAATATCAAATCTTTTTCGCCTCTTGTTTTCAATTTGAGGAGGGTTAGTTAAATTTAGAGATTGTTCTAATAGATTTGAATTGGTAAAATTCAATGTTTGATCTAATACCAATTGTTTGATACAATCATCAGTGCAATTAGCCGTTTTGGGATCATCACTATTTATAGTGATATTATGATGTATTGTTGCAGTAACAAAAATATTCACAACATTGGAATTATTTTTTACGACGGTATCTGTTTGTATAATAGGAAGCTCATTTTGAATTTCGTTTATTAGAGGTTTAGTGATGTTTTTGTTCTGTGTCAATGGACCAACTGCGATTAAGTATAGAGGCTGTACTAATGAAACCTCATTCAAACCTACAACTAATTGTGTATTTTCCGAAGAATCGTGATGGCTTTTGGTTGTAGCAGTAATAGCAGTTTGTAATTCGTCATCATATTCATCTACAACTAAAAGTGAAATATGTTTGTTATAATACTGCAATTAAACATTTCCATATTATAGTATTCACAAACCTGGCATTTGGCATAATAACAAGCTTATAGAGCTTGCAGCAGACATTAGGATCACGATGACGCAAATAAAAGTTGTTCGAGACATTCTGTTATGAACTAACATAGAAGAAGTTTTTTGCAAATTTTTTGGAAGTTGGTGAAACTCTTCGGCCATTACCTGTCAAAAATGAATAATTTATAATTTTAAATAATTTTGAAAAGTATTAACAAAATATTAATTTCGTACCAGAACAGATGCACATGTCAACAAAAACGTAGTGGCTGTCAGACTTATCACTAAAGCAGTACAGCTGAAAAAAAGATAATTTTATATAAACATCTTTATTATTTATATGAGATTAGATTTAATACCTTGGAAGAATTATCGCTTGGCACATCACGACGAAGACCCAAACTATGAAACAACATAACATGTTTGATTTGAACATGTCTTCGCGTACTTGACAAAATTTTCCTTCCAGAGATCCATCTTTGAAATTCAATGTCCATGGATTTACATTATCATTTCTCATTCTTTTATTGCTTTCTATTTCAATACTATGATCTATGATGTCATCGACCTAAATTAAGATATAGAAAATGGTTAGATAACTAGGCTTATTAACTTCCCTGTTTATATAAAAAATTATGATAGCACATGGATTATAAAATAAAATTGTTATTTGCAGCGCAAGTTTGTGCAAATTTTTGCTAAGTTTTAATATTTTATGATTTTCCAAATTCATGTTTCTATTTTTGAAATCATTCTGAATTGTTCAAGACCAAAATTAGATAAACTATATATGTGCATATGAGTCGAAATTTGGCGTACAAATTTATAAACGATGAAACCAGATAGGGACTGGAATTTTTTTGGCAAAACTTTTTTTTACATTTACCAGGTGAATCCAAAACTTATCCTTGGGGATGTTAACAATGCATTAACATATTTTTTAAATTATTTATCATAATTATAATCAAGATCACATACTACATTTAACTTTACTCTAAATACCAACAATTGATTAATTTAATTATTACTGTTTCATACAAGAAATAAAATAAAACTAAATTTCTACGAGATAAATATTTATGAGTACAAAGATACATAATTTCCAAATTACCTGCTCGGTCATGCTGAGTGATACATTTCTAGAATCAGTGGAAGGTGGTGGTTTACCTCTATAGGAAGCATTGTGATCTAAAAAGTCATCATCTAATTCACCAGTAGCTGAAGTATTTAGCTAAATGCATAGAAATACAAAATAAAAAATCATAATCTAAGTGCGAACTAAATAACTAAACTGATGCCAAGTATTGCACAATTAATAATTATTGTTTAAAATATTAGGAATATGAGTATGTAAAGTTGATCAATAGTTGTTTGTTCATTTGGACAATTATATTTATTAGGCACTATAAAACTCTATTTAATCTTCAAGTAACATATCGTATCCCTAATTATACGGCACAATTGAGGTATTTCGTCATAAATACAAATAGAAAATTGTTTCTAAATCTATGATATGTTGCTGCAGATCCTATTGATTTTCTTGAACTGTTAATATATATATTCTGCTATCAATATGTTTAAAATGCTTAATTAAACAATGTTTTATTTTCTTCTGTCTAAAATGATCTAATTTTTTGACTACTGCAAATAGTCAATAAAGATAGGAGAAAGTCTTTCGAGTCATGGTCGGAAAGAAAACATAATTATGTCTTGGATATAAAAATCTTTTTTTATTATTTATTTTGCGTCCCGATTCGATTTTGATATCTTTTTGAAGTAAAACTTCTTTAGGCGCGACTATAGTGTAAATCCGTACAAATGCAACGGAAGTGCGTTACGGCAGATAAGATAAGATAAGAGTCGAGTGCCAATGATTCGTCATTCGCTCTCGATGATATTATCTAAATGCTAATTACAATGACAATCCGATCATGCCTGAATCATCTGAAGAATGACTTTAATTACATTATTGTTTTTAGATATTGTACATAGTTTTAATGCTATTATAAATATATAATTTATAATTTATCATTACATAAATGTGTATAATCGTTGGCACTGATAAATATCTGCATCACGAGTGTTACCACATTACTAATAAAGATTATTCAAAATTGTCATATGATGTATTTATTTTTACTTAAATGCTATCTTGTACAGTAGCAAATAAGTTTTACTTCAATCGCGTGTGAACCTTACGCGCACTCTCATTTTTTTCTTTTTTTTAACTTTTAATAAAATTAACTCTCACACCTATAAACATCCGCTTGACAACGGCAACCTGTGTGTACGAGTGTTACCTATAGATGATCAAGTGTGTCGACATTTGCTTCAAAATGTATGTCACTCTGAGTTAAATTATTGAGTTTTAATTTGTTATTTTAATTTTTAGTTATGCAGAAGAGTAATTTTCAATTTTGAAATATGTTTTTCAAGTGAGCGTAAGTTAATGTAATCGTCGAAATATCGAAATTGAAAATTTGTGTATATGTTCACGTTTTGAAGGTTTCTGAACATTTTGGCATACCTTAGATCAAATAAAAATGTATGTGTGTGCGCGTGTGTGTACGTATGAGTATGCATGCATGAATACAATTTTTCGTCCACTTTTTTGGGCGCACGGATCAACCCATTTGAATGGTTAAAAAAATATTCGATTCCTATTGGTAGATATGCTGATTAGTTTTTGGCAAGGGCAGGTCTAGCCATTTCGGAGATACGGAGCAAAGAGTGCAAACGATAGAAATCGTATTTGTGAAAGAACGGAGTATACGATTTGAATTATCAAAAAAGTGTTCAATTCGTAATGATGAGAAGTAGTGATCAGATTTTGGTAAAAGCAGGTTACTGTTTCGAAGACACGGAGCTAAATATGCAAAAAATTGCAGTTTTTGAGAGAACAAAGCATCCGATTTCTGCTTGTAATGACGAAGCGATTGCTTTTGGGAAGAACAAATTTTGTTTTTTCATTTTTTTTAAATTTCTAGAATATATTATGACACGGAAAGATACAGCAATTTGCTTTAAGGCCTTACACTACTAGTTAATGACGTTGATTAGAAAATTTCGAAACATGTTGTGTAGCAAGTACGTGGACGTTATGCTGGTCTGCAAGCAAACACCGCCTTAGCGAAAGTATGTTGACAATGACAACTATCAGAATATTACATAAAAATAACTAAATAAATATCAATCACCAATTTGCGAATAGAAAGTTCTTAAAATTAGAGAAATGTGAATAATATTTGATAAACTAGATATTCTAAAAAAAATTAAAACATTTCTATCAAGTAAAATTTTTTTGATAAACTAGAGTATCTAAGAAAATTAAGATCTTTCTATCTACGTACGTTTTCAAATGGAATTTCAGGAATCCAGTCAGTGGTAATTTCTTCATCAACCGAAGCAGATGCCGCCCTCGTCTTCCTAGGCATTGTGCGTTCCGGAACCTTATCCATCATTTCAGAATTGCTGGCACACACGGATGGCCTTTCGTCTTCTGACCATAGCCTTTGATTAAATATACTGTAAATATATTTAGTTCTAATGCCGGATTGAACATAAACTCTGTAATAATTGATTGAAAGATATCACACGAAATAAGTTCTTATGTTTACGTGGTGGCATCAATTCATCGACCACAAAAAAAAACATAAAATTTTTTTAAATTTAAAAGTTTAAAAAATTATATAAGAAGATTATTTTTCTGATGAAATACCAACATTTGTTAACAGTACACTATATATAAAAGTTATTAAAATATATGTTTTTGAAAAATATTATCTTCGTTTCCATATTGCTGGTTAAGCTGCTCTAGCTTAACTCCAAAGTAATTGAAGTGCAATAAAATCTAATTACATGATTTAGATATAATATGTCGTTTCCAATGACATTAATCTGAGCGAAAACCTTTTAAAATACTTTTTGAAATAATCTGACTTTATAACAAAAAAAACATCAGAATTATGTAACATCAAGTCGGGGGTTCCTCAAAGGAGTGTTTTAGGGCCACTATTGTATCTCATATATACACACGACATTCCAACTGATAGTAATGTAATAATTGGAACTTTTGTCGATGATACAGTTGTCATGGGAACTCATACAAATGCATCCGTCGCAACGTCAAAAGTTCAACAATATGTCTCCGAAATTGAAAAGTGGCTCAATAAGTGGAAGATTAAAATAATTGAAACAAAATCTAGCTATATAACCTTCACAACAAGAACCCTGGACTGCCCAAGCGTAAAAACAAACAACATAGAAATACCGAAATATGAGAGTGTAAAATACCTTGGGATTCATCTCGATAGAAAGTTAAGCTGGTCAATACATATCAAAATGAAAAGAAAACAGATAGAGAAGAAGTTCAGAGAGTTGTATTGGCTAATTGGCAAGAGTTCAAATATGTGCTATGAAAACAAGCTCCTTTTATATAAAACAATAATTATCCCAATCTGGACATACGGCATTGAGCTATGGGCTCAATGCGCAAGCAATTCAAATATAAAAAAAATACAAGTAGCGCAATCGAAAATTTTAAGATGCGTTGTGAACGCACCCTGGTATGTTACAAATGACAGCCTACATAAAGACCTAAAAATAAAAACTATTAATGAGATGATAAAAGAAAGGAGCAAAAACTATCACGAAAAACTACCAGGTCACCCAAACATATATTTAAAAGAATTAAGCGAGGAATATCCCACACGAAAATTGAAAAAAAAATGGCCGTACGATCTTAAATAAAATGTCAAAAATAAAAAAGAGAGAGATATCTCATAGGAGATAATCTCTTAAATGCATTAACACCAACATCATATCGTCTTAAAAAATGTATATTATTTTGATTAACAATAAAACTATGCAAAAAAAAAATTCATAAACACATATATAAACATACTACATACGTATTTGTAGATACAATTACCCGAAAATAAAATTATTTACCTAGGTCTTGACACAAGTCTTCTGCGCGGCCTTAATGGTTCAGCTTGCTTAATTAGATATGTTTGAACACCATGTTCTCTTAAATAAGGATCTCTAGACTCGCCTTCACCTGGTTCAACTTCATATACCCCATTCAGACAGGCTAATGTAGCTGCTGATATGTGAACGCGACTGGGGATGATAAAAACAATTATGTTATGAAAAATAATGCCATAAGTGGTTAGAGTGATTCAAAGAATATTATTTAATATTACCCAGGTACACCGCCGCTTTCCATATGATTGGCTAGAGTTACGTCGTAAGACCAAACATCGAACTGCCATTTTCGCAATCCAAGGACCCCACATAACACAGACCCGCTGTGTATTCCTATCCGCATGTTGAGATCTACCTGATCGATCGCAAATGAAACAATTAATAAAGTAAGATGAAAGAGGAATTATTTCTTAAAGTAGATTGCAAGAACTTTCTCAAAAATTATGTCGAAATCAAGCAAATATTTTTGTGATAAAATGGTTTCAACTGCTAATCTTTGTTTTTCAAGAATTTTTCGTGTAAATTTCATTTGACACTAACTAACCATTACTAACTAACTATTACTAAAGAGAATTGGAATAAACTATTTAAAAATAAATAATTTTAATTAGATTTGGACGAGAAATCCTCAGATGATGTCTTAAGCAGAAAATAGGTATATGCATGCTGATGGCACATTATTTATTAACTTTCCAAAGGATGTGATTATGCTTTCGCCAAAAAATCGGATTTACTAATTGTATGTTTTCTCGGCGTTTCAAGTCATTTTGAATTACTTGTGTGTAAGGTAGAGCAGGGCTTAAAGCTCAATCGGTAAAAGGTCTACCACCATCATCCCCAAAACAAATAAAGTATAGATTTTTTTAACGATACTATTTTAAAATTAGAAAGCATGGCATGTTCAATCTGTCATTACCCTAATTCTTACGATATCAAGAGATAAACGGCCACATATCAATATTTGTAACAAAAGTTTTTTTTTCGCTGTACACTGGCAAAATGTTAACAATGAGCATATAGTAAATAAAGAAGTAAATTACATAAAAAATGCAATGGTACTAGAGATAAATTAAATTAATAGTAATTTCAACTTTGCTGATGAATATTTCTGACGAAATACCAAATCATGATTACATACTATGTTCTTATTGTTAGTAAAAAATGCGCTAATGGAATTTATATTTTGCATTGGTTGAATAATGTAGCTATTATTTCATAAAATCACTTAAAATTGAAATTAAAACATTGGATCTGGAGGCCCCTTGCCTCCTCCATGGGGTGAAAAGCGACAGTTAACAAATTTTAGAAAAACTAAAGATTTTACGGAACATTGTTCGATAGTAGTTTGTTCATATGTCTTAATTGATGTAATTGTTTATACGTCTTATGTGTAGGTAGTATAACACATGTATTATAAAAAAAAGGAAAATGAAACACAATATAGACTTGCTTCGATTAGTTATTAGCAACTGTCTGCCGATTCTTTTTTTTACAATTAAAACAAATGAAAATGAAACACAATATAGACTCGCCTCCATTAGTTATTTCTTTTTTTACAATTATAGAAGAAAAGAGCAGTTATGAATAGAGCTGCTAGATACATCTTTCTTGTAAAGTCCTACCATGCCATTTCTTCGCAATTAAATGTAGAAAATAGCTTTTTGGACAATTTTGATAAAACTCTTTATGATAGAATTTTTATGGTATTAACGAATATTGTAAAATATTTAACGTCTACAAAATTTGGCCAAATTATAAAAACACCTTGAATTAATTTAAATAATGGGGAAGAAGGATGTCAAAATTTTAAATTTTAATCGTCATATTTTCAAAACATGTTGAATTTCAATGCGTAACAATATTGTCGATTTCTCACACATATCAGGAAGTTGTTGCAACTTGCCTAGCGAATTACCACTCCACCTGGTTCACTCTGGTTATATTGCTATGATTTTTCGCGTGTAAACTCTCCAGTAAAAATGAGTTTACACTTTTCATAATATACGACATATTTTTTTATTCATGCCACTAAATAAAATATAATAAATCCAATTGAAACGTAAAAACAAAACTCGTCAAAGAAATGATCACAATATTAAAATATTATCACATAAAAAATAATGTATTATTAATATTATTTCGGGCCCGCCCGTAGATAAGCAGTTAAAAGCGACGGGACTTTCGGAGAAGAGTTTCGGAGGTCCCAGGTTCGATACCCACTTCGAGCAGCCTGTTGTCAGGCAGTAGTAACAACGATTTTCACTTAAAAATATAGACAGCAATATGTTTCCAAGTGAAAATAGCCCTCACCCGGCATTGCTGCATCATTAAAAATACTCGCCCTATTACAGAAATTGTAATAATAATATATCATAGAGAGATGTGACAACTTATTGGGTTGCCATCTGTCAAACAGACGCGTATTAAGTCAAAATCAACACAACAGCTTATAGTACTGTTAGGTTCTGATTGCTGTTTAAAAATAATAATAAAAAAAAATTATAACAATTAAAAAACTAAATACCTGGGTTCGATGCCTGACATCCCTGATGGCTTTAATCATATGAAGACCCATTTCGACGCAGCATACAGCGTGATCGCCTCGGGCCGTCGGAAGACCAGAAACACAATAATAACAATCTCCTAGTAGTTTTATACGAAGACAATGATTTTCCTAAAATTATATTAATATGTGATTGCACATCTAATTATCAAATAAGATGCAAGACAATTTATTGAGTTAATACTGGAACATGTAAAATTATTTGTTAACTTACCAATATAGTAAGTTAGTTATATTCTGATATCAACCGTTATTACAGAGTGCGCCATTTATATGTAGTCAATGAAAATGTTGAATAACTTGAATAATTTTAAATAAATTTTGATAAACTTTTGTTTATTATCAAATTTAAAACTTTACCATTTTTTCAACTTGATTCGACAAACAACGTCGATCAAATGATCCCCTTCATTGCGCAAACAAAATTTCAATGTTTCCATTGACCACATATTGATGGCGAACCCTGTATAATTAGAAAATAATTTCAAAAATCCCAGTAATGATTTGATTGGTTCTTTGCGAATATGAGTCATATTCTTTAACATGTATTGAAAATATTGATTGCTCATTTAATTGCTTTTTCACCAAAAATGAAGAAATGTAATTTTAAATAAATTTCAAAAATTTACACATTATAAAAAAACACAAAATAAAAGTTCAACACATTAGCATTTGGAGTATTTAATATAATTTAATTTTTTTATCACTTACTGTAGCCAATTTATCAAATCTTGCAAATAAATCATTTAGAATTCTTACAAGCTCTTGCGGACTGCATCTACTTGCTAATTCTGAAAGTAAATATTATAATTGAAAAGAAGTTCGTTATTTTTTTAATTATTCATTAAGAAATAATCTAACCAGTAAATCCTTTGATATCGGCAAATAATATTGATACATTTTCATATCGATGAATATAAATCTTGTGGAATTGTAATGGTTCAAATGCGCCGCCTCTTTCTTCTTCTCTGGCTATGTCTCGTATCATTTCTTTTGCAACAAAATCTGGCAAAACTGAAAAATGTATATAATTAAGTAACAAATTATTTGTAATCGAAATTGAATGCTCCTTCAATTTATTATGATATAGAGAGGGCGAGGCAAAAAGGTTTATTTTGCCTTTTAATAATTACCAGTCAATTTAGAATACTGTGAAAACAAAACCAATAACATATCAACAAAAAATACACATTAAAAATTCTAAGCTAATTCATTATGGTAGAAGAAATGAAAAGTGTCAGATGTCATTAGCAAAATAGTAAAAAACAGAGGTAGAAGTTTGTTTTTTACTATTTTGCTAATGATATCTGACACTTTTTATTTCACCCAATAGACAGGTTAATAATCAACAGCCAGAAGATAAAAAGGTCCACTGATTTATTTTCAATTTTCAAGAGAATTTATGGAATAATAATCACATTATTTAATCAATACGATAGAGCTTAATTATTTGGCTGGACAACAAAATTAAAATTTATAATCTAAATATGTAATTTGAGACATAATAAAAAAAATCAACTCTAACTACTATTATGAATATTACTTTTGTAATTTAGTTGTTTAGTTTATCATGATCAGACTCATTTTTTCCATAAATACAATTACTTAATACAAATAAGGTAAGTACAACTTCAGTCTTAATAAACATATTTCATTTGCAGATTTTTTACAGTTCTTTGTCAGAAGAATTCATCGTTAGAGTTGGAATAACTATTAATTCAATTTATCTATCGCAATCTTAAAACCTAAAAATAATTAAATAACGTATACTTAAAATTTATAATCAGGTATCGTAAACTGAATAACAATTCAACAAAAATTTGTAATTGTAGCCATGTATTGCAGGATAGCGAAGTTGCCCGATTTAAGGCGATAACTGGTTACACATCATTTGTCCTCAGCTTTAAAATAATGTTTACAGAAAATACTTGTTTCAGAAAAAATGGACCTTCGACCTTTTTACCCACGGACCAAGTTTACTTAAAAATACAGAGAAAGTTAGACGAAATAAGAGGTCATTGTTTGTACGATGTATTCTTCAAATTTAAATAAAAATTTAAAGGCATTTAGTAATGAAAGAAATCTAGTAAAAAAGATGTTTCATATGACTTTGAATTAAAATTGAAATATATATATAGTCTGTAATTGTATACTGGTATATGATCTGTTGAACGTTATTTTTCAAATATGCGTTTTCTAACTGGCTTACATGATATTTAAAATTAACTTATTATTTAGTTTTAACGATGTTTTTTAAACAATTGTTGTTTAAATGCAATCCAATATAATATAAAAAATAGTCAACTATAATAATGTCTTAATATCGTATTATTAATAATATAATAAGCTACTTTAATCTTGCTCTTCATATTTGGGAACAATTATGGTTTATACAGTATTTAAAATTGTACTTGCTATAATCACCAATAATCACCATTTATTTTTCAATTTCATGTAAATAAAAGAACTAAAATCATGGGATCAGAAAGGTAATATTTTTGAAATTAGATAAGTTTTTTTTGAAAACATATGTTTGCCATATGTGAACAATAAACTTTACATATTTGTGGTATAATTATGACGTCAATGTGTGTAGGTACCTATATGCAAAAATACATGAAGCGCGTCAAAATCGATTGTTCAGTCCATTGAGCGGTCTATAAAATTATTTCGCAATTATAAAAGATGCGATGAAATTAATCGTTCATGTATGCGAAAGCATTTTCATTATTGCCGACGAACAACCAACTCATCTGTGGAATCTATTGACCGGACCTAATACACACTGTATACATATAAAGCTCAAGGGCGTGAAAATTATTAATAAAAGTGTTGTCACGAGTAGTGTTAGAACGAAATATCGAGTACTGAGTAAATATCGATACTTTGCGGTCGATAGTGAGTACTTTTGCTATCGATTTTTTAGCTCGATCTATTTGCCAATATCGATTCTTTTCGTCGATAGTACTCAAAAAGAATCGACAGCGTAATCTATGAACAACACCACTCATCGACCAACTATTAACTCCTCTCATTGCCAAATGCAAAGCAATAGTCTCCCTAGGTGGTCATAATTGTTCAAAGAAGTGTCAAAAAATTATCCCGAAGGGTCATTAGTCTCAGAATTTATTGCTCAAAAACCCAAAATGAATATGACCACACTCATAACTAAAGATGTTTATTTATTACTCTTATGTAAAATGAAAAAAATAAAATGATTTAAAGTACCTTAAATGTTTTATAAAAACATATTCAACAATCGAAGTATGATTATTTCAAATAATAATACTTATCAATTTCAATAAATTAGTATTTTACGTAAAAAAGAATCGAAATATAATTATTTCAAATAATAATAATCATCAATTTCAATATATTAGTATTTTGTGTTTATTATATTTTAAAATATAAATATATATATTTTTATATATATTGAAATGATTGAGTATTATTATCCGAAATAATATATTTCGATTCTTTTTTACGCAAAATACTAATATATTGAAATGGTTGAGTATTATTCGAAATAATATATTTCGATTCTTTTTTACGCAAAATACTCATGTATTGAAATTTTTGAATATCAGCATGCAAACATATGGGTTTGAGTTTCTCGGAACCATTTAAACTTTAAATCCCATCGCTCCGAAGGGATGTTTTTTAAGTGCCGAAATATTATTTTGACCGTCATTAAACTAAATGTTTATTGCTTTCCGAAGAGCTTAATTTTGCACTTTTATGTAAACATGTAACGGCTTTTTAAAGTTGTATGCTCGCTAAAATTATTCATATAAAAATATTCAACAATTATAAAATATTATTTTACTTAAAAATAATAAAAATATTATTGTACTTAAAAAATGAATAAAATTGCATTTTGAATATAGTATCAGACTATTATATTGTTTTAATCAAAAATACTCAACTATTATAACTTGTATTTTTTTTTGAAGAAGTATAGAATTTGAAATTAGTATTGATAAATTACTGTTAACATTTTACAATATTGAAAATGATTCTGATTTAACACATCAGATACAAGCAATAGAATTCATTCTAATATTGTGATATGATATTTAATTAGTTTTAGATCTTTCTTGCACTTTTTTCATGAAAAGTACTCAAAATTCGATATTGAGTACTATCGATACTTTCGCCACGATATTTTTTTGGCATCGATATTTTGATTAGATACTTTTTAAAGTACTCAATATCGATCTTTTGCCTCGATACTTCTAACACTAGTCACGAGAGGGAATGGAATTTGATTAGATATTGACGCTCAATATAATATATATAGACAAATTAAAGAATAATACTAGCGAGACTTCTGTTTTAATAGGTTCATTCTTAATAATAATTAATGATTTTATGCTTGTAATATTTATAAAAATAGTGAGATCAGATTAAATTATAATGAACGATTTGCAAAAAGTTATGCAAAGAGTTAAAAAAAAGAAATAAATTTTTATTCGATGCGTCAGTCTAAAATTTAATTTCTATTTAGTTAGAAGATATCTCAAGGGCTAACTAGTAACAGGAGTTTTTTGATGGGTGGTTAAACGACACAATTTTTTTTTACTTCATATTTTTTAAGGTTGCTGAACACACAACAATTACATATATACAAATTCAAATGAGGAAGATTAAATAGTATAGTTTGTAAGATGTGGGCACATGTAAATTATGCTACAGAAATTACTATATATTTTATTTATATTAATAATATCGTAAATTTTCTTAAAAAATAAGTAAATAATAAATTATCAGAGGTATTACTGCCGTTTTTTTATGTTATTACTTGCTCCGGTAGATAGTACAACAAATCCGAAACCGCACTTTTTCTAGAAATGTATTAATTATGAAATAGTATGAAAACATGTGTTTTACTTGATTCGGTAGAGTTATAGTAACTATTCGTCTTTGTTTTGTAGAAATATAATAAGTGAATCTCAAGCCATATTGATTAAAAAAAAAACTGTTACAGTGACCTACTAGCTCCCCAACATAATGTTATTCTGATAGTTGGGAACTAATTATAAATGTTCATAAAAAATAGTTAGAACGTAAGAGATAATTAATCACTCTTCATGAAAAATAGTGAATTTTTATTGATTTTTCAAAATAAATTATGAAACATTTAAAGGTTAAATAGCTTTAATATAACGACTTAATTTTAAAATATAAAAATCGTAATCTGGTTCTAGATTTATTGGTACTTGTATTCATGATACATATTAATTGTATTCTCCATTATCAAAATGCAAAAATTTTGGTAATATAATTTAAACTTTAAAGAATATAAAAAATCACAAATTGTAAAATCATGTCATTTTATGTCGTATTTTGTGAAATACAAGCGATTGCACATTCAAGTAATTAATTTAAACGATATCTTGACTTTGTATTGTAGTTTATTCGACACAACATGCTGAGGATATACAGCAATTAGAACACAAAAAACTCAAACTAGGTGTAAATGGCATTTTATTCTGAATCTTATTGCATAAAAAATCGACTTAATCAATAAGAATTGAAATTTAGCAAATTTTCAAAATTGTTACATCAAAATTGTTTATATCAAAATCATTGTTTTTTATCAACAATAGTCAATTCGGTTTCCAATTGATATTATACACGTTATATGTCTTAAGCGAGCGGATCATTAATTAAACTAGTACTTTTTGTAGGTCTATAAAGTTCGTTAAGACCACGAACACTCCGTCATATAATTCGCCAATTCATCAAAATTGTCAAAAAAAATAATTTAACAATTAATTACAAAGAAATGGCTGAACAATCTTTACCGAAAACTTACTAGCTTGATTCCCAATTTACATCTTTCAAACGGTTTTCAATTTTTCAAAACCGGTCGAAAATGTTTTGGATAACTTTAAAGCAAAAAGTTTAGAATATTTCTAGTATTTCTAAGGAAAAGATCGGCCGATCGTCTTTCAAAACTAATGAATTCGAGTCCTTTTCAAGGTTCGAGTTTCAAGAATCGGTGCAAGCGT